GGTTGGCCCTTCATGAAGAATAAATTTGAGCGTTATCTTTCACCAGCTCTCTTACTGTGTTCCCAGCTATTCAACAGCCTTTGACCTGATTATCTTCAAATTACCTGCACACATGAATTTGCTGTTGTTGTTCTACGCCATCAAGTCATCTCCGACTCATGGTGACCTCATGAATGAGTAATCTCCAAAACATCCTGTCCTCAACTGGCCATCTTGTATTTAGTCTTCCTCTTTTCCTACTGCCTTCAACTTTTCCCAGCATTAACATCTTCTCAAGAGAGTTCTGCCTTCTTGTGATCTGCCCAAAGTAGGACACCTTCAGTTTCATCATTTTTGCCTCCAGGGATAGTTCAGGCTTGACTTGATCTAGGATCCACTTGTTTATCTTTCTGGTAGCCCCGGGTATCTACAAAGCTCTCCTCCAGCATTTCAAACGAATCAATTTTTTTTTCCTGTCAGGTTTCTTAACTGTCCAGTTTTCACACCCCTACATGGTGATCTGAGTGTGGATGATCTTGGTCTTGATCTCCAGTGACACATCCTTGCACTTGATGATCTCTTCTAATTCCTTCATAGCTTTCCTTTCTACTCTCAGTCTTCTTCTGTTCGCAGTCTCTATTTGGATTGATGTTTTGAACAAAGATTTATGAAATCTCTAAATATTTTTATGTCTTCATTGTCAATGTTAAAGTTATGTAGGTCTTCTGTAGTCATGATTTTTGTCTTCTTAACATTCAACTGCAGTCGTGCTTTAGCACTTTCTTCTTTCATTTTTGCTAAAAGCAATTTTGAATCACTGCTGCTTTCATCCAGTAAGATGGTGTCATCATATGATGTATGATCATATATTGGGTATATTGCTTGGTTACATTCCTTCACCCAATGGAGCAAATACTGTACAATATTTGTACACCCTACCTGCAAATCCATAAAATAACACATTTAAGGAGAGATAGCAGTTTCAGGGCCTGTGCTGCAGGGTCAGAAGACCAAGCAGTCATAAGATTGAATCCACGTGACAGAGTGAGCGCCCGTCACTTGTCCCAGCTCCCGCCAACCTAGCGGTTCAAAAGCATGCAAATGCGAGTAGATTAATAGGGACCACCTCGGTGGGAAGGTAACAGCGTTCCGTGTCTAAGTTGCACTGGCCATGTGACCACGGAAGATTGTCTTCGGACAAAACATTGGCTCTATGGCTTGGAAACGGGGATGAGCACCGCCCCCTAGAGTCGCACACGACTGGACAAAAATTGTCAAGGGGAACCTTTACCTTACCTTTACCTAACAGTTTCAGGACAGATTTTTGGTATGCAACTACTGCAGTGGAAAATCATTAAATCCTCCTCTCTTGTGTTTCAGTTTCAGATTCAAAATTAAAGAATGGCCATTTAGAAAGCTTACTTCTAAAGCATATACTTAACATGACTCGTAGTTTCACTCTCAGTAAGGTTCTTTCACAACATTACCTTTATCCGTTTTCAGCAAAAACACATGTAGAGCCACCAGTTATACATATAAAGCATACTTCAAATGTAATTTCCTGGTCATTCATACTAAGATTTGGCCTTTGGCTACCAAAATTGGATGTATATACATTTTTACAGTTATGACATAAATAAGTACAGCTCATACATTTAGATTTATGTAAAGAATTAAGCAGTTTTTAGGGCGGCTGCTCCCTACATTATCATCAGAAGTAACTATGTCTTTGGCCTGTCCTGAGTGATTTCCAAAATACACTGCTGGAATAACATTGGATGGTGCTATGGGGAAATATCAAATAGCACATTACAGTGAAATATTGATTGGAACATTAATGATCTGTCAAACAAAGACAGCCAAGGTTATCCTTCCAGAAGGAGGGATTAGGGTTTGGGCACAACTTGCCCTTATGTTGGCACTACTTTTCATACTACTTCTCTACATGTGATATTAAAAACAACTATCAGAATGAGCATACTTCAAATCCAGGGGCATTTTGAGGAGACAAAATATCATCTATATGCTTTGAGACAATTAGTGTTAATCAAACCTTACATGTTTGAAAAAGGAGACCATAGAATGGTTAGAATATTCTTAACACTGGGCTGACACTTTCTACAAACAGATTCCCATGTAGTTCACACTTCCTTTAGAAGTTATTGACCTAAGCCTACATGCAGTATAGGAATGGCACATTGGAACTTAAGGATGAGGTTCACAGTCTGGGCATCCTTCTGGACCCAGTGTTGTCAACGGAGTCCTAGATAGTGTCTGTGGTCCACTCTGCCTCTTTCCACCTGAGGCAGATTGCCCAGCTATGTCCCTATCTTGACAATGGGCCCCTCACCACACTGGTCCATGTACAGTGGTGCCTCGCTTAACGATTACCTAATTAAATGATGAAAATGCTTGACGATGAAGTTTTTGCAATCGCTTTTACAATCGCAAAACAATGTTTTAATGATAAAAAAATCACTTGATGGTAAAAAATCACCTGCTTCGGGAACCGATTTTTCGCTAAACAACTATTTTGAAACAGCTGATAGGTGGCTCTAAAATGGCCGCCTGCTGTGCAAAATGGCTCCCTGCTGTGTTTTCAGGATGGATTCCTTGCTTTACAGGCACCGTAAATGGCCGCCCTATGGAGGATCTTCGCTGGACGCTGAGGTATTTAGCCCATTGGAATGCATTCAACCAGTTTCAATGCATTTCAATGGGCTTTTTCGTTTTGCTTGACAAGGATTTTGCTTAATAGCAATTTCAACGGAACAAATTATCCTCGTCAAGTGAGGCACCACTGTATTGGTAGTCTCAAGATTAGACGACTGCAATGCTCTCTATGTGAGGCTGCCTAGGAGGCTGCTACAGAAACTTTATGTGGTCCAGAACACAATGGCCAGATTACTGACTGGAGTGATGAAATACCATCATATCCCCACTGCTCAGGCCACCTTGCTCTGGTTACCTGTTCATTTCCATGCCAGCTTCAAGGTGGTGAATGTTGGCATACAAAGCTCTAAATGCTTTGGGACCTCGATACGTGGCAGTACACCTCCTTCCGATGAGATCTGCCCATCCTATATAATCCTCCCAGACCACCTGGGAGGATTGTACCACCTGTTGAAAACATTAACCCCAAAAGAGGCCTGGGAAAAAAAAGACCAAAAAACAGTGCCTTCTCAGCAGTTGGCCCTCATCTTTGGAATAATCTCCCTCCATCCAAAAAAAAAAATTGGTTTGGCCCCTTCAATGGGAAGTTTTAAGCAATTGTTGAAAACCTAGCTGTTTAAACAGGACTCCCTGGAGTTTACAACATCACAACACAGTGGTTGTCTCAGCGCTTACACTGTCAGTTCCACTACTTTATCTTTACTTTTAATTATTTTTAGTTAATTCTATGTTGCTTTTATGTATGTGCTTTGTTGTTTAATTTTGATCTGCTATAGTTATTTTGCTTACTGTTGTCTTTTCTGTTTTGTATTGTAAACTGTCCAGAGTGGCCTTGGCAGCCAGATGGGTGCTATAAAAGTCAAATAAACCAACCAACCAACCAACCAACCAACCATGGGTAACCTAGGTAGACTGCAACTCCCAGAAATCCCAAGCAGCACAGCTGGTGGTGAAGCCTTCTGGGAACTGCAGTCCAAGAACACCTGGGTTACCCAAGATTGGGAATCCTGTCCTAGACTGAAGAAGGCAGCAGTAGTGACACCACACTTTATTCAAGGATTGATACGTTCCAATTATTTACTTCTTTTAAAAAAAAAATCAGTACCAGAATGTTGAGGTGGATGCCCACTATTGAAAAAAAAATCTGCAGTGCTATAAATCTTAATAGGTATTCTTTTTAAGACCGGGGCAACCTCTTTGTCTACTATTGCTGAAGATGATGCCAAATTGTGTTGCTCATCTCTCCATTGATTATGTTGACTGATTTATTAGTTTCATGTTGTTTATTGATTTGATTCACTTTAGCACGTTTCTCTTTGTTTGTTGTCATATTATAATATTTGTTTTGATTTGAATGTTAACCACCGAGAGTAGTGCCTCATAGTAATCAGGCAGTCTATTAATTAATTAATTAAAATAAATAAATAAATAAATAAATAAATAAATAAATAAATAAATAAATAAATAAATAAATAAATAAATAAATAAATAAATAAATAAATAAATAAATAAATAAATAAATAAATAAATAAATAAATAAATAAATAAATAAATAAATAAATAAATAAATAAATAAATAAATAAATAAATAAATAAATAAATAAATAAATAAATAAATAAATAAATAAATAAATAAATAAATAAATAAATAAATAAATAAATAAATAAATAAATAAATAAATAAATAAATAAATAAATAAATAAATAAATAAATAAATAAATAAATAAATAAATAAATAAATAAATAAATAAATAAATAAATAAATAAATAAATAAATAAATAAATAAATAAATAAATAAATAAATAAATAAATAAATAAATAAATAAATAAATAAATAAATAAATAAATAAATAAATAAATAAATAAATAAATAAATAAATAAATAAATAAATAAATAAATAAATAAATAAATAAATAAATAAATAAATAAATAAATAAATAAATAAATAAATAAATAAATAAATAAATAAATAAATAAATAAATAAATAAATAAATAAATAAATAAATAAATAAATAAATAAATAAATAAATAAATAAATAAATAAATAAATAAATAAATAAATAAATAAATAAATAAAATGAAGCTAGCACAAAGTTCAGGCTATTTTAGACCATGAAGCTTTCCAGTGCAGTGGTCTTACTGTGGGTCTAGCAAGTAGAACTCCCAGAAGAAAAAGTCCTGAGATATGGAGTATAAAACCAAACAGAAAAACAAACATCACATCTTTGTTTGGCATAACACCAGAGGCTTCTCTTTCAGCAACAAACTGCCAGAAGCTAAGAAGTTGCCAGAAGCATTTCCTCTTCTATAACAGTTGTGTGATTTGAGGTACAATCGGAAGTAACTATGGTGACTTCTTAACTTGCAACAATTCACTGCTGAAAGTTATGCTGATAGTTCTAACACTAGGGGAAATAGACAATGGGATCGTGGCTATTATCTTCAAAAAAGAGCAACACATAGCAACAATAAAGATTGATCAGCAATAACAACTTTCAGGAAATAGAAAGATATATTCACTTATTATCCTCTCAGAAGAAGAGAAAAGGAAAAATGGGCTAAATTGCTACAGAGTAAGCATGACCAGGAAGTCGTGAGACAATTCAAAATCCTCTCCTTTTCCATAAAATAGTATTTTTGGTGATAATAGTGATGTACACACAACCACTGCCTTAGAGGCATATTTTCCTGCCCTCTCATGAATCCAAACTAGCACAGAGAAGAAAACTGAACCAAAAAGGTAAGATCATTAATACCAACTTGTATGTGTGTGTACATGCAAAAATATTCCTTTGGACACACATTCTCCTATTCCGTTAGCAAAGCATATCACATATGGAAGAAAGGCAAACCAAGTAGATAAGACCATGAATATAAAATTGCACCATATTTGAAATATCGGAGGCAGTCCAAACCATATTGACATTGTTCTCTCTCCAAGACCTGGAGTATGCCTGATCTGTGCAGAGTACAAACAATACTGTCTTAAAGCCTTAAAAAAAGTGTTTTACCCATTAAGAGAACAGAGTTTGGATGTGTTATTTAAGGATGTGATTTTTCTCCATTCTGGGAGTTCCACCTGACAAGTCAGAATCATGGTTGTTGTGGGTTTTCACGGCTGTTTGGCCGTGTTCTTAAGGTTTTTCTTCCTAATGTTTCACCAGTCTCTGTGGCCGGCATCTTCAGAGGACAGGAGTCAGAACTCTGTCTGTGCTCTGTTGCAGTTTGTTGGATAGTTGAGTATTTATAACTGTGGAAACAGTTTTTGTCCTTTTCAGGAGATTGGGTGATGATGGTGATCAGCATGTTTTGTTGCGGGTGTATTGTTGTGATAAGCGGGAGAGATGATCTGTCACTGTGCTTGATGGGTGCCGCTAGCTGGTCTTTTGTGTGTAGTGATCAATGGTCCTTGTGGCTGGGTAGAGTTCGTTGACCTTTTGCAGGCTGTAATTGTCAGTGCTGGGAGCCAGGATTTGTTGGGTTTTAAACTTAATTCTTTTTTGTGAAGCTCTGCTGGTGTTTGTGGATTTCAATGGCTTTCCTGTGCAGTCTAACATAATGATTGCTGGAGTTGTGCAGTACTTCAGTATTTTGAAATAGAATTTCATGTCCAGCTTGTTTTAGGGCATGTTCAGCTACTGCTGATTTTTCCAGTTGTTTTAGTTTGCAGTGTTTAAAGCCTTAAAAAAAGTGTTTTACCCATTAAGAGAACAGAGTTTGGATGTGTTATTTAAGGATGTGATTTTTGGAATTACAAACCTCATAATTCTCCATTCTGGGAGTTCCACCTGACAAGTCAGAATCATGGTTGTTGTGGGTTTTCAGGGCTGTTTGGCCGTGTTCTTAAGGTTTTTCTTCCTAATGTTTCACCAGTCTCTGTGGCCGGCATCTTCAGAGGACAGGAGTCAGAACTCTGTCTGTGCTCTGTTGCAGTTTGTTGGATAGTTGAGTATTTATAACTGTGGAAACAG